CAACCATATATATATATATATGTGAGTGCGCATGTGTATTATAAGTAACGATTTTAAATTTATATATATAAAGGAGGATTTACCACAAGTAAAGCCTTTATATGTAAGAGATTGAAGTTGGCTTCCTCATCTTCACTGTAATCCAGCAGTGAATCCAACATATCACCCAACCTTGGAAGCTTCAACTCTCGATGCTTTAACCTCTCGCTTATAAACCCTTCTGTCACTTCATCAAACCAACCATAAGCTGCCTTCGCCTTCCGCCGTATGTTCTGAGGATCCAATGGCTTCAGCACCGGAAATATGTCTGCTATGTTAAACTTTCCGTCCACCTCCATCACTGTCTTTACGGCTGTCTTAAAACCTCCGATATCATCGGAATCATAGCTGGCCACGCTCTGTGAAAGGCATGTATTGGACATCTGGTTGAGCGCCACCGCGAATGCCAACTTTCCGATATCCACCGCCTCCTTTTTCCTGCCAGACTCCCGAAGGAACTCCAGCACCTCATCCACCACTTTCTGTCGAAGGTCGGAAACGGTGTCGAGTTTGTGTTGGTGGGTGAGACATGTGTTGAGGGCTTTTCTGATGGACCGCCACTCTTCATTTGTTGAGATCCATAGAACAGCCATGTCATGGTTCTGAAAGGTGGTGACGGCGTCTGGGACAATACGGCCGGAGCAGGCCTCGTCATTCAGTTGGAGGATTTCTCTGGCAGCCTCAGGTGTGGAGGCCACCACGGTGGTGATGCTGCCCAATCGGACTGTCATAAGTGGACCATGTTTCTGGGAGAGTTTGGCTAGGGACTCATGGGGTTTTGAACCAATGTCAAGGAGATTTCCGATGATGGGGAAGCCGGCAGGCCCCGGAGGTAATCTCCTTCTACCGTGAAGGTCGAAGCCATGGAGGAGGAAGAGAAAGAAGAAAAAGGTGAAAGAAGCAAGAAGCATAAATAAAAGCTCCATTGTTGTTTCCTTTCTGGTTGTTGTTATGAGTTACGAGGGTGGTGGGTGTTTATTTATAGAGTTACAAAAACGTGACATATCTCATCAGGATACATCAAAAAGTCACAATCGTTGATTTTTACGATGCATAATCTTTTCAAGATCCCTTTGATTACTACATAAACCGGTTTGTGCAGGATGGGACGCAATTGAAAATTGAGGGTTTAAGGTTTTGATATAATATTAAGGGGGTTGTTTGTAAAAGGTTGACCAAGTAAGTCTTTTGTCGGTTCTACTTACTCAATCGTTCGAGCATGACAAGTATCGAGAATCTTACTGATAGTGAATAAAGATACTCTAATTAATACGACAAGCATTATCAAGTGTCGTAAATAATTGATACATGGCAACAAGATCTTGATCCGTTGGTTTATATTTCTTGGTTTTAATCAATGGTTTTGTTTGTTTTTATCGCTTTTTAGTTACTAGTCTATATGTTAAATGTTACTGTCAGCTATATATATTAATGATTGTTTTTTATCTACTGCTATGAGTAATATTTTAATTTTCACCGTATTCTAATTCTATCAATTTGTTGTGTTGTCCATAATCCGTATAAAGATATCTCTTCCTGGAACATTATTTTATGGAAAATGCAAAAAAAAATATTGTATTTAAATATTATTACAGATTCTAATACAATCACTAATCTGAACTTTCTGATTGAACCAAAAGATCTACTTTTATATATGGTTTTTGGACGCGGTGGTGGAGATAATGGGTGCTTATGTTAAACTTTTCATGAAATTTTTTACGGAATTCTTAAACCCTCCGATATCGCTCGATCAGTAGCTGGTCACATTCTTTGAAAGGCGTGTGTCCAAAATATGGTGGAGTGCCACCATGTTGGTGGTGTTGCCCAATCGAATGGTCAAAAATAGAGGTAACGTATTTTTCAGAGAGCTTGACAAGGACTAATCATGGTGTTTTGGATCAATGTGATGAAGGTTCCGAATGATTAGGAGGTCAGTAGCGCTTGACAACAATTTCCTTTTTCAATAGAGTATATCGAGGGCATGGAGGAGGAAGAAGAAGAAATAGAGATTCCATTGTTTCCTTTCTTGTTATGTAAGTGATTCAACGATTTGGGTGTGTATTTAATTAACTATCGATTGAGTAATTTTAAGAATTATCTATTCTTGTTTACGATGACAATATTTTTTTTGTTAGAAAATAATAATATAAGAATTGATTTTGACAAAAAAAAA